AGATTATTCAAGCTTCCCAGTCAATACCTAAGATGCTGCCTAGATAACTTCTATAGAACCCATTTAAGAAAGAGTTGAGTCATCAAGCAAGTCAGTAAGTTCTCTAAAATTTCCTGCTCCCAGTAAAGCAGGGGTCTTCAAACTTGGCCCTTTTATGACTTGTGGACTTCAGCTCCCAGAATTCCTCAGCCAGACGTGCTGTCTGAGGAATTCTGGGAGTTGAAGTCCACAAGTCATAAAAGGGCCAAGTTTGAAGACCCCTGCAGTAAAGTCTACCTTCTTTCAGATGTAAGCAAGAGTGGCAACAAATAAAAGTACTGTTACACCTATGTTCTGGCTGGAATTTTCCCTCTTGGATATCAGTCTCTTTGTTTGGCTGGCAGAAGCTCCCTTGTCTTGTCAGCTTCCACAAAAGTCATGTGCATCAGGAGGATTTGTCCCACAGTGATTCTCTTCTTTCTCCAGCAAATCTTCAGACCAACCCTGAATATAGTCATTTCAAAAATCTTGCCCAAGCTCTCTTGGAAAACAAACCTTCAAGAGCCAAAATTTAGATCCATCTTTGCCAGTTTTTTTTATCTCTCTCCTCCATTCTGCCCAGGCTTTTAAGTTTCCATCTTAAGAGTGTTCACCCAGTACAGCTTCTAGGAACTTTCAAAACCTAACATCCAACTATAATGTTAGACTGGAAAACAATTAAATGCACACATTTTGAATAGCCAGGTTTATTATGTTTAAGGTTAATTAAATGTGACTGTGAAATAGAGTCACATTTAATTTTTGTCTTGGACTCGCTAATATTTGGAGTATAGCCCCAGATACTGACAAAGTAGACCAAAGACTACTTCGTGGTAATACAGAAAAATATAGAATAGACACCATCACTACCAGAAGGATTTGTAACAGGCTGACCAACCGCTCTCAACATGTACTCCTCAATGGAACTACATCTACATGGAGGGAAGTAAGCAGTGGAGTACCACAAGGTTCTGTCTTAGGCCCAGTACTCTTCAACATCTTCATAAATGATTTAGATGATGGGATAGAAGGGGAACTCACCAAATTTGCAGACAACACTAAACTGGGAAGAATAACCAATACTTTAGAAGATAGATTCAAGATCCATAGGAATCTTGAGACTTCCGGTGGCAGGCGATTTCGTCGGTCGCAGCTGTTTGCTGCCTCCCGCCTGTTTTGCGTAAAAGCCGGTTTGACAGCTAGCATCTGCTGTCAAACGGCTTGATACCTTTCCCCTGGGCATAAGGGGATAGGTGAGCTGCCCGGGGTAGGAGTTGAGTTCCCGAGTCGTCCTATATGGACGATGTAGGCGAGA